ACAGTTCTTCGGCCATCTTTGTTTGTTATTTTTTTTTATGAAAATAGACGTTGTTATGGCAACTTTCAGTTTTTACGATAAACATTAAAGATTTCCTTCTTCGGAATGTTATGAACTTCTAGTCTTTAACAATCTTGCTGTCTTTTGACAAATCCGTCACATATATCTTCAGTCATAGATCACACATGGTGGCATTGCGTTACCAGCAACGTCACGGCTCGCATCAGCTGTGAAACTCCACTGCTTTAGAATATACAGTCGTTCAAATAAGGTCTATTAAACGTATAAAATACCCATTGTTTCTAATATTTAAATGTTTTAAATAGAGCCCTATAACTTAAAGAAACTATATGTTATGAATTCCAGTTATTGGCGAACGAGAGAAGACACCAAATACTCTAGCGACCTCTCTTGGTAAACATTGCAACAAAGCAGCAGAATGTCAAGCCAGGGATCCGTACAGCACCTGTATTAACGAAACGTGTCAGTGTGTAAGACACGCTTCTTCTTGTAATGCACACAAAACAGGTAAGACAGTATCACTTGTTCGTAGGTGAATATTAAAGTGTGTCTTATGTATATGTGTGTTGTGGGAAACTAACACTGCTTTCAATTTAAAATATCAAACTAGTGTTTGAAGTATGTATATTTTGAGGCTACATAATTTTCTACGGATATAAAAAGAATACGTCGCGACATTATATTAAAACAACAACAACAAAATTGTTAAAGTATTTCAAAATATTATTAATCTGACACCACAGAACGAATCAAGTGTCGGTTGGAGCACATTTTAGGTTTGGTTTGTTTGTAATTAAGCACAAAGCTACAGAATGGGCTATCTGTGCTCCTGCCCACCACGGGTATCGAAGTCTGGTTTCTAGCGTTGTAAGTCCCCAGACATGCTGTTGTGCCACTGGGGGGCTACACTTTAGGTTTGTTTGAAGTTAAGCACAAAGCTACACAATTGGCTATCTGTGCTCTGCCCACCACGGGTATCGAAGTCTGGTTTCAAGCGTTGTAAGTCCCCAGACATGCTGTTGTGCCACTGGGGGGCTACACTTTAGGTTTGTTTGTAATTAAGCACAAAGCTACAGAATGGGCTATCTGTGCTCTGCCCACCACGGGTATCGAAGTCTGGTTTCTAGCGTTGTAAGTCCGCAGACATACCGCTGTGCCCCTGGGGGGGGGGGGAGGCTAGAGCACGTTTCAATATATCAACCACTTTACAGCAGTTATTGTTATTAAGTTTCATAACGGCTTTGCTCAGAGAAAAACAAAAGTAATGGACATTGGAATCTTAAACGTTCACACTTCTAATAGTTAAATGTTTTATATTTCGAAATGAGACTCTTTTAACCAGTATCGTGATTTTGTAATGTATCATGTAAATACTATTTAATGTAAACATAAAAGATAAGTTTTGTCAAATCCAAGAAAATATCATATCGTTTTCATACTCTTAACCCTCGTCACCGAGCATGCTTGCCCTTTCAACCGTGGGGCGTTATAATGTTGCGGTCAATCCCACTATTTGTTGGTAAAAGAGTAACCCAAGAGTGGGTGGTGATGGCTACTAAATCAAGCAGTTGTTCACTGCTGAATTAAGAACGACTAACGCAGATAGGCCTCGTGTAGTTTTGCGAGAAATTCAACATTTTTGCGGTTCCTGTAACATGTTTGTTTCAAATTGCACACATAATATTATTTACGGGTTAAAGTTCAGCATAGAAAGTTTTAAGTGAACAGACGGTTGCTGTTCGGTCTGTAAAATGGATAAATCACGCATAAAAAAAGACTTGGCATAGCGTGGTGGTTAGGGCGCTCGACTCGCAACCTGCAGATTGCGGGATCGAAAACCGTTTTCGACCATGATCACCGTTTCAGCTATGGGTGCATAATAATGTGACGGTCAATCCTACTATTCGTTATTAAAGAGTACCCCAAGAGTTGGCGGTGGGTGGTGTCGACTAGTTGACTTCCGTCTAGTCTACAACTGCTAAATTAGGGACGGCTAGCGCAGATAGCCCTCGCGTAGCTTTGCGCGAAATTCAAAGTATACCACATCAATCGTACTCTTAACATATTGACAGTTTTCTCGACACGAATTGTTATACCGTTGCGTTTGTTGTAAGCGTTGCAAACTGAGGCTCTGTGATATGAAACTAAGTTCATTTATTTTAACGTTCCTGTTT